CGTAACTGGCATCACAATCCTCACAGGATATTCTGTAAATCACATTTTGATTCTGAACGTGTTCCAAATCATCCTTTCCTCTCCTTATAAAACTTCTCAATGTGTTAGGAATAGTAAAAGCCAATTTACAATTAAACATATTATATATACTATTAAACAATAGGTATAAATCTTTCGGATATTATATTAACATATGGAATCTTAAAAAACCTCCTCCCAGTGTCATCCTTATTCTTATTCAAATTATTAAACTTATTAATGTGATATTTTATTCTATTATGAATAGTCAAAAAAATAAAACGTAACGGATACCCATTCTGTAAAAAAATCTTAATAGCGTCAATCAAATTATTTTGTTGGAATTTCGGATGACACAAGAAATCTTATCCATGACTCCATAAATCACACCTCTTTTATAACAAAGTGGGTGGTGTGAATGGAAATTAAGAAATCTGCCGGAAAAGGTTGCTTTACGGTATATATCAAAAATGAGATTCCGTTCATCGATAATCAACATCGTATCTAAAAAACTTATTTTTCCATCACCTATCTCCAAGGTGAACTGCAATCTAGTATGTAACGAATTTAAAATATCCAAAATATCATAAACACTTTCAGAAGGAGCGGCTAAGATAATATCATCGACGTATCGGTAATAAAACAACAGACGACAAGGCAGCATTCCAATAGCCATCTTTTCAAAATCCTGCATAACAATACTTGCAACAACCGGTGACAAAGGTGAACCCATGGGGGTCCCAAAAATCTGCTTATATATTTTTTTATTAAAAATGAAAACTGTCGAAATCAGAACCATACGAAAGGCTATCAAAAATTCGTCCAAAGGAATCTTAGTCTTCTTGGATATAGCATCCCACCTCACAACCACACTATCAGATGTCAAATCTATAGGTATATTAGTGAATAGGGATACCACATCCAAGGAAACCAAAACAGAATCTGATTCCAGCTTTACATTTTTAATCAAATCATAGCTGTTTTTTATGAAATTAGGCGTCTCCGGTATAGAATCTGCAATAATGTTATGCAAAAATAATGACAAATTATATAATGGGCTATTTAACGATAAAACAATAATTCTCAACGGATAGTTTTGTTTGTGTATCTTCGTCAAACCATAAGCTCTAGGAATGACCTCATCATTCGTACACAACCTCCGATACGTCAAGTCATCTATTAACCCTTTTCCTTTCCACCTACTAAGCAAGTTACGTAAATTTTTTTGTAGGATTTTTAGTTATTAATTCATATGTATTTTTATCCGAAAATATCAATTCCATCTTGGATATGTACTCTAATTTATTTTGAGCAACGGTGACATTACCCTTATCAGCTTTGGAAATTAATATTTCAGGATGATCTTTTACAAATAATTTCGTCCTAATCCAAACTTTGTCCTAATCCAATCGAACAACAACTTGTCATTCGAGCCGGTCTTAGGAAAATCATTCCGAAACTTATCCATAATTGAAACACTATTGTTTCTAACAAAATTAATTATATTCTTCCGACGACCAATATTATTCTCAATATTCTTAATAAATTCTATCAATGTTCTATCAAAATTATGTTTGTTAATAGGAAGACCAAAGCCTTCCCCCAACTGAAGCATTGGACCTCTAAAGGAATGTCAACATTGCTCAAATTAAGGAACCATTTATTATTTAAAACATCTAGAGGAGTGGCATCTCCAAACAGTTCAGCCGAAATGTGAAATCCTTTCTATATTTTGTACCGTAATGTCATTATTAATCTTGTTAGATGTAATTTTATTAAGCAATTCATTATTCGAAGCACAACAGTAAGA